CACACACACACACACACACGCACACACAATTATCAATGGGCACAAGACTGTATGAAAGTTGTAAGAAAAATATTCACTTAAAACATAACAATGGCAATTAAAATTGTAAGACATTCCTTAAACCCATCACTTACAGAGAGTAGAATTGGCTAAATCATTCATTTTATTAGTGAATGATGGATTAGTTGTTTGCCAGAGAAGCCATCATTATAAAATATTTTTGATTTGTTTTTAATACAAGAAAGCACAAAGTCACTTGATTTGCTTTTAGGATTGAAAGGATCCGTCACCTCCATCCCAGGGGACCACGTGGAAGCAGGCAGGCACAGAAGAAAGATTATTACAAGGTTTATTGGATGAGCCACGTCTGAGAGAGAGCACATGGCAGCCTCCACTATCTAAGCAGCAGCATGGGGGGTAGGAAGTGAGGTAGATGGGAGCTCAGGTGGGTCTGGGTGGAGAGAGGAAGGGGCCAGCTGCATAGCAGAAACTCTAGGGCAGGGAGGAGCTCAGGTCTGGGTGGAGCTGAGGACCAAAGGTGGGCATAAGGCTTACAAGGATGAATACTTCATTTCTCCTACATTTTATTTTTGAATCCTGAACCATAGTTTTGGACTTTTTTTATTCCTTTTTTTCTTTTCCTTTCTATTACTGTTGTTTTGATTATCTGTCTTCATAGTCTAAAAGCACTTGGATACTTCTTTATATGTTTGCTATTCAAATCACATCCTGTGTAACAAATACACCTGATATTTTACTGCTTTTTTCTGTAAAATGCTGTTCAAAACAATAAGGGATGCTTGGTTACTGCATCTTTTAAATATTGTTCACTACCACTTGGTGCATATACAGACAGCAATATTGTGTGACTACATAATACCACGTTTTCTTTAAATTTACTTAATCAATGTTGAGCAACTTTGATTTTTAAAAAATCAGTAATTTTAAATTACTTTGAAGTATTTATTTGTACTCAAAACTTGAATTTGCTTTCACACATTTTACTGTATTTCTAGACATTCTAAGTCCATTCACTACTATAATTTAGTGTTCTATATGCCCTGATTCCTATATTTAAATAAAATTTCAACTAATTAACAATTACTGAGAAGCCAACTGAATCCTATGGACATAAATCTAAATTATTGTTTAGCCTCTGAAATCATAAGTAATGGTTTGTTGTTATTGTTTTTGTTTGAGTGATTATTTAATCCTATTGTTCTCTCTGAAGAAATCACCAGTATTCTTCTCATCAGTACCTAACAATAAGATACTTCATGTGGATACATATTGAAACAAGCAAATTTTCTAAAAAAAAAAAATTAGCTCTATGTTCTAGTATATGATCAGACTGATAACCCCACCATCCATTAGTTCTTAGAAAAGAATTACAGCTGAATATGGTAACTCAAGCCTATAATTCTATCTATTTGAAGGTCAAGAGGATGTTGGTTTGAGGCCAACCTGGACAAAGAGTTGCTAAGACCAAATCTCAACAAACAATGCATGGGAACACATGACTGTAGTCACAGTTACATAGGTCTGAGGCTGTGTGGTCTGAGGCTTGGCCCAGGTGAGACCCTACATGAAAACTAAATTCTAAAAGGGTTAATGGTATATCTCAAGTGGTAGACTGCCTGCCCAGCAAGCATGAGGCTCTGAGCTAAAAGTTTAGTAACTGGCAAGGAGGAAAAAGAAAAAGAAAAAAGCCAGCTGGTTGTGCATAGGTGTGTATATGTGTGAATATATGTACACCTAGATTTACTAACCTTATGGCAGAAAATAGGACACTGCTATACAGTTGTTCTACTATTTATCAAAGCGTGGTGATTTCCTTCTCCCAAATCTTGTCTTCTTTACTGAATATCCATATATTTCTTTATTAAGATTGCAATGCCAATCAAATTTTCAGTTCCTATGTTCAAGATAATGAGCATCAGAACCTGAAGTATTTATTGGTAGGTTTACAATAGGGAAGGGTATATTTGCTGCTTTTAAAAGAAAATCTAAACACTACTGAACTTAGAAACTTATCAAACAGATCCATGTCCTCTGACTCAACAACATGAATGAAATAAATAATGAAAAGGGGAAAAAATTTTTAAAGTGAAGAAAGAAACCCAGATGTGAATAAATACCTGTATTGAAATCTGTCATGTGGTATACCATCTTAACCCCCAAATAAATGAATTTTCCTTTTGAGTATCAGAAATTTGATAGGAAGTTAGAAAGATAGAAAATATCATATCACACATTTGCTGGGTGTATTTCACTTGCTTTTGTTCCTACAACCTATGTGATTTCATTGTATAAGAGAAACTCTCTAAATTTTTGTCTATTTTCCTTGTTCCTCACTAGAGAAACACACTTTGAATTCTTTTTTTTTTTTTTGGTCCTGGGGCCTGAACTCTGGGCCTGGGTGCTGTCCCTCAGCTCTTTAGCTCAAGGTTAGTTCTCTACTACTTGAGCCACAGCACCATTTCTGGCTTTTTCTGCTTATGTGGTGCTGAGGAATTGAACCCAAGGCCTCATGCATGCAAGGCAAGCACTCTACCCCTGAGCCACCTTCCCAGCCCCAATTCCTTATTTTATTTATTTATTTTGGTTGGTCTTGGGGCTTGAAGTCAGTTCCTGGACACTGTCCCTAAATTCTTTGTGCTCAAGGCTACTGCTCTAACACTTTGGGTCACAGCCCTCGTTCCAGTTTTTGAGTGGTTAATTGGAAATAAGAATCTCATGGGGCCTTTTCTGCCTGGACTCTCGTTGAACCACAATCCTCAGATAGCAGCTCCTGAGTAGCTAGAATAACAGATATGAACAACCAGCTTCTGGCTCAATTCTAATACTGTATAGTAGATGTGTAACCAAAACCTTGCAGAGGAGATTGGCTCAAAGTCTGACACATGAGTCAAGAAGACCCCATCAAACCAACTCTGGAGTTTTACTTAGGCAAACAGGAGGAAAATATAACCTTTTCCATTGGTCTTGAACTTAGAAAGTCATAAATGTGGACCTTCTAGAGTCCATAACATAAAGAAAAATTAACTTTAGAGTGATGTCAATAAGAGAAAAACATTTCATAGAATTAAAAAAAAAAACAAAACAAAAAACAATCTTGTGTCATGGTGACATGCAGACCTGAGAATTCAGCTCTAGTAATTCTCTGGATTTTCTGTAGCCTGAATTCTCTCACTTTGCCTCATTTTCTGACATTTGGATTGGATGTGTGCTTATTCAGCTTCACATTAGTACAGAAAGGT